AAAGTTTTGTTGATTATAGCACAGAGAAAGTACACTTTTGTAAGAAATTTGACTTGTCATCATGTAACACTGATTGAAAGACTATCTAAAATATTGTACAATATCAATAATCAATAGATTAAGAACTGGATAATTGGTCTCAAGAAGCACTTGTCAATGAGGAAGTCAACATTAAACAGAAGTGCTTCTCTTTAGAATTTAGGACTAGCGTTAGGCCCAATACCATTCAGTATTTTTTTATATATAAAATCACTGCTGATTAGAATTTGCAGAGACAGATTAATGGAGTGATGGATAATACTAGGGCACTTGTACAGATTGATCTCCGTTACTTGATAAACTGGACCCATTCAGCTAACATGCCCTTTAATAAGCTAAATTCAAAGTCTGCAAGGAACCAAGAGTACAGGCTAGACATAGAGAATGGGGGACTATATACCTGAAAACAATATCTTTGAAAAAGACTTGGGGGTCTGTGGTAAAGTACCTGCCACCTGGCCCACTCTGAAACTTGGCAGATAGGTTTATTGCCTTTGTCCAGCACCCTTTCTTGATTGCTAATCTGCCTGTGCAGTTCTGCTTCTTGCGGTTCTCCAGCCAGATCACATTTCATCCCACTATTTCTGAGGAACTTGTTAGCAGCAAAATTTCAAACAAGGCAAATACAGTTCCAAACAAATAGTCTGTCTCAATACTGGTTCTCAATACCATGTCTGGTCGTCATCTTGGTTTGTCTCATCTCCCTGAGTTATGAGATCCTGGGCTTCTCCTTAAAGCCCCTGGGCATCAGCTACCCTCCAAAAAAACTCCAAGGAAAATTCAGTTTATACATCACCCTCTTAACCCAGGCTCAGACTTTGAGTCCCTCCTGGGCACATGTCCAAGTTCCTTTCAGAACAGCTCTTCTGTAGAGTTCTCCTTGGGCACTCATGAAGCTCCTGAACCTGTACCAGGAGCAGGCTCTTCTTTCTCCTTGTAACTGGTCTTATTCCCCCTTCCCTTCTCCCGATTGTATTCCCAACTCATTTGTTAAAGGAAAGCCAAGTCCTCAGCTGGTATACCTGCTGACCCTATTACCTGCCTGTGACCAGGTGCAGCCATGAGAATACAGTTCTATGGCTTTTATTAGTTACCCCACCCACTTCTTATTAGTACTGGGAGTAATTTGCTCTATTGCAGGGGCATAGAAGACGAGAAAGCCTACTTAGGCTTCCAGTGCAGTGCTGTGGTAGAGAAGGTTATTGCAGTTCTTGGGTGTACAGAGTAGTAGGGAGTGACCTCGATGTCTGTATGGCCTGTGTGAGTGGTAGGAAAAACTGATACTAGTTCTGCATCCAGCTCTTGTGCTGCATTTTAACAGGGCTGTTCAAAAATTAGTGTGGAAGTGATCCTGTATATACAGTGCAAAGAGCCTCACTTCCATCCTTGGCAAGTTGGTAGAATCTGTAATGAAGAACAAAATAAACAATCATGTGGGCAAATATGCTGCTTCTTCCACAGCAAACCATGGTTATTGTAAAGGTAAATCCTGTCCCACCAGTCTGCTAGAGTTCTTTAAGGGTATTAACAACACTTGGACAAGGGGGATCAGCTGCATTAATATATTTGGACTTCCAAAAAACTTTTGACAAGGTCCTTCACCAAAGGCTTTTTAAAAAACTGTGTTGCCACCAGGATTGGAGGGAAGGTTCTTTTATGGATTGAGAGGTGGTTAAAAGATAGGTAGCAAAAGATAGGGCTAAATGATCACTCTTCAGGTTGGAGGGAGGTCAGAATGGGGTCTTGCAAGGATCTGTGCTGGGCCGAATTTTGTTCAGTATTTTCGCTAATGACCTGGAAATGGGAGTGCACAGTGAGCAAGTTTGCAAATGATACCCAACAATTCTGGGTAGCCAAATCATACGCTGACTGAGGGGAGCTGCAGAAAGATCTTACCAAACTTGGTGAGTGGGCAAAAAAACTGGCAGATGAACATTGTTGTCAACAAGTGCAGGGGTAATGCACCTGGGAACCAGCTGTTATGACTCAGAAAAGAGACCTTGGAGTCATTTGTACTTAGTTCTCTAAAAAATCAGCTAACTGTGCAGCAGTGATCAAAAAAGCCAATAAAATGTTGGACATCATTAAGAATTGAAAACAACTTCATTAAGACATCATTAAGAATTGAAAACAAAAAGGAGAACATCTTCATGCCAATCTGCGATGTGCCCACATCTTGAATACTGTGTACAGTTCTGGTCCTTACATCTCAAAAAAGTTGTAGTAGAATTAGGAAAGGTACAGAGAAGAGCAACCAAAATGATCAGGGACCTGGAACAGTTGCCAAACCAGGAAAGACTGTAAAGACTAGAACTCTTCAGTTTGGAAAAGAGAAGGCTCAGGGGGGAATATGATACAGAGCTATAAAATCATGAAGGATGTGGGCCAAGTAAACAGGGAACTGTTCAAGTCCCTGAATACTAGGACTAGGGGGCACCTACTGAAATTAGTAGAAGACAGGTTTAAACTTAACAAGAGAGAGATCTTTTTTGTACAACATAGTTAACTTGTGGAAGTCATTGCCACAGGAGGTGGGAGAGGCAGATAGCATAACCAGGTTGAAAAAAAGGACTAGATAAATTATGGATAATAGATCTATTAATGGCTGTTGAACAGAGTGGTTGAAGATGTTTCTTCTCCTCTGGCATCTCTAGACCAACAATGGTGGATTCCAGGGAGGGTTATGAATATGGTTTACTCTATCTCTGTCTGTTTCAGTCCTCTTTCTCTAGCAGCCACTGTCAGAGACAGGACACTGGGTTAGATGGACCATTTGTCTGACCAAGTGTAGCATTGCTTATATTCTTATGAAAAGGGACAAAAAATGACTAAGTACTGTAGAATGAGAGCCTTATAAAGTTAAGTTTATTTAGCTTTTCAAAAAAAGGTTTGAGAGGTGACTTTAATTGTGGTGTATAAATATCTTCATGGAGAGAGAACCACACACTAAAAGCCTCTTTAATCTAATGGAAAACCAGTGGTTGGAAACTGAAATCAGACAAACTCAAATTAGAAGTAAGGCACAATTTTAAATAAGAATATTTAACTAGCTGACAAAACAACCAAGGGAAGTGGAGTGGTGAATTCTCAGTCCCCTGATACTGTCCTATCACAATGGGGTACCGCCTTGGAAGGTTTTGCCTTAGTTAGGCACAGGTAGTGTGCACTTCTGTGCCCTGTGATAGCATTATGATCTAATAGTCCTCCCTAGCCTTAAAACCTGTTAATATTATAGAATCAATTCAGTGGAAGTGCATGTTTCTCAGTTTACCTCCCTTCTATGGAACTTAAACTCCCAAAGAAGGAAGACTTCTTTAGGTTGAGAAAAAGGATTAGCCTCTGTACTCAAATACTGGCCCCTCAGGACAATATCAGAAGTGCCAAATTATAATTGCTTCACATGGATTCATGTCTGTTTGTTAATGTGACAGAAGTCAAAGCCACAGAGATGCTTCCTGTAGGTCTCCAAATGGCAAGGTGATGGTAATTGCTGTCAGTCATTTCCATCTGGACCCAAATTTGAATAGCTGACCTCAGAATAAAAGACTGTGTTCTAGTAACTATACTGTATCACAACCTTATGAAACCAGAAGGATGTAAAATTTGTACATCCAAACTTTTGTGCATCACTGAAGCACAATGCCTGGTGTATCTTCCAGATGATATATTTGCTATTGCTGAACATTACTTTTTTTAATGGTTCCAGAAAGATAATTATAGCAGTTTGTTCTCTTCACCTAAAAATAAATGGATCGCACTATGAGAATTGAGTTGTATTCATTTTTTATGTTTAAAAATATTTCATAACTATTGTATTTTAACTCTGTATATTTTTAGGGAGCTCGTACTGTATCAAACTTATCAGCAGCTACACTTGCCTCTCTGGGTGGAACTTCGTCCCGGAGAGGCAGCGGAGATACCTCTATCTCAGTTGATACAGAAGCATCCATTAGAGAAATTAAGGTAAGAAACCTGTATAAAACAAGTTCTTTCTGGGATCTGTCACTTGCTGGAACACACATTCTACTCAGTCTGTCTATCTTCATGCTTTTTTTTCCTACTATGCGAGCAGTAGAGTTGTTTAAAAGCAGAGGAGTTTATTTCTTTAACAGGTGATGGGAATTTACACAAGCAAATTAGTACTGACGTGGGATACCAAAACCACCCCATGCAGAACTAGAAGATACAAGCCTCTTTAATTCCACATTGGAAAGTAACTGGTCTGTCTTGTTCCAATTGATTGGCTAGTTTTTAAATCATCAATAGTTTTAATATTTGAAAAACAGTGCATATGTTTCCTAAAGATGTGCATTGCCTCAAGCTCTTAGCTTCTGATTGGATAAGTGAAAATACACTGGCCTGCCTCATACAGGAGACCAGACTAAATGGTCTTAATTTTTCCATCTGGCATTAAAAAATCCATGAAAGCAAGAAACCAACCCAATAAAATATAGTAATGACAGGCTTGAACTGAAGTAAGAAATGTTGCATTTGTGTTTTGTACAGCTTTCTATAAAATAGTTTTGCAGTCTGATGTTTCTCATATGAATAATAAAGATTGGGATAAGAAAGTTGAAAATGTTTAAAAAACAGCAAATGTCTACTTAGGCCAATATTTCTATCATTATTAAACTATAAACAAGATGGCCTTCAGAGCACAGAATTATTATATAGAAAAGTCCTTCTTAAATATTTATCATCTTAAAGTGGTTGATGGGAAGAGGGACATGTGGTCTACTAAAACCTCTCTATTTCTAATTTTGTGTTCTGAAGTTACCATTATTAAAATTATCTGGACTGTAAAAGCTAATCCAAATAGTTTTGTCCTGATGTCAGAACTGTAAAATAAGTAAAAGAGAGAGGTGGCTTAGCTATATTAGTCTGAAGTCAGACAGAAGGCAATGCTGGGTGTGGGGCACCTAAGAGAATAATTGTGCAGAAAGACATAAGATTTTGTAGGCAACAGTTTCCTTCATCAGATGCTATGGGTTGACTTGCAGAGGGGAGGAGTCCTAAATAGAAAGGAATAAAATGATTTAAATACAAAAATAGGGACAGGGTGAGGAAAGGAGTGGAGGCACTGTTGCAAGAGACGAAGATAGGTTGAAGAGATCAAAAGGGATAAACAAATCAGTTAACCTATTGAGGGATACACTAGTTGTAAAAGCTAGTTCAAGTAATGGAATAAGAAACCAGAATAAAATATAATAATTTGAAGGTGACCAGAGAGGGAGAGAATAGTGTTTTAAGTGGTCTCATAATTTTAATTAGTTTTTTAATCTTTTATCCCCCTACAGTATTTATCCATGCCTCCTAGGTTTATTGGGTTTTTTATGATAGTTGTCACCCAGTAGCTGAGGAGCTTACATCAGGGGTGCTTAGCTTCTGGCCTGTGGGCCAGATGCAGCATGTGGAGCCAACAGATCTGGCCCACGGGGCTCCCCACAGGTCAGGAAATTTGGTGGCAGGGGAGTGGTGGTCATTAATGTGACCACCACTCCCCTGCTGCCAAATTTCTAAACCCCAAGCCCTGCATGTCTGGTTGGGGCCAGGGCACACCTGCTTCCCTACCCCTTCATGGGACCAGTTTGGGACTAGGCCATCCCTGCTTCCCCCCCCAGGTACCATTTTAGGGCCAGGCCGTGCTCCCTCCCACCCATGGGGCTAGGCTGCCCCCCTCCTTCCTCTGTGTAGCTGGATGGTGCCAGCAGGGCCTGCCCCAGATGCCAGATTGGGACCCCCAGCAAATCCAGGCTGCACACAGACTGGGCACTGCACATCCGGCAAATTCATCTTTGTGACGCCCTTGTCGAGTGCTAGGAGGGAAATAGTATTTCTCAGTTACGGATAGGGAATTAAGGGAGATCGAGTAAGTTATTTGCCTATTGGAGGATTGGAAACCAATCTAGGTAACAGTCCAATTCTTTAAACAAAATGCCATCCTTTTTTTGAATCATCTCATTTTTTCAAATTATTAGGACAGGTAATGGCAAGGTGATTGGCTGAAAAGCCTCTGAGCATGTTTACTATAAAGATTAGAAAACTGAAAATGAAGTGGAAGCTTATCTGTAAATGTAAATTCTGACCCGACTTCTCTTTCACCTCTAAATTAGCCCATTAGTTTTCTTGACATCATTCACCTTTTCTTACCATTTCCCTCAGGAGATCAATGAGTTAAAGGACCAGATTCAGGATGTAGAAGGCAAATACATGCAGGGATTGAAAGAAATGAAGGTACCAGTTTATTGCAGACTGAATGTTTGATAATTAACACAAGCTAAACTTTCAGAGAGGCAGAGTGAGAATGATAACTGGAATGTAATATGCATGCTTTTCTTCTGAATGCTCTGAATGGTTTGAAAAGCATTTAATCTGTGGGGAAAATATGCAGCCTGTTTAAAAGTCCAGTGAATCCTTTCTTTGAATAATTCTGGTGAAATGCATCTAAATCATTAACTGCTGTAGAAAAAAGCCACTAATTTCTATTGCATGTCTTGTATTTTGCTGTCTTGAAGATATCAAACTTTGTTGCTATTGTAATTCTGCATCCAAAGTTTACCATCTAAAAAAACTAATCATCTTATTATGGAACAGTAAAAAAAAAAAAAAAAAAAAA